AAAGCTCTAAATTGACGTTTCTGCAAAACTGAAGTATTGAAACGAAACACGGTATTAAAAAACACACAATTTTAGTTATTTAGTAGACATCGTTTTCTTCTTCTTCTTCTTCTTCTTCCTCTTTCTTTTTTTAACCCGAGAGTCACTGCCACCAGTGCAACTCTCACACTCGCTTCCTTGTGTGTTAAAACTCGTTTTATATTTTCTTGAGTTCACAAGAAATTCTTTTCGAAAACCAAACATTTCCCATTAATGTTTTAAGATTTGCATAATCGGGACGCAAAGGGAAACCGTAAAAATACTTTTGAAACTATTTTTTCCCTTTCGTTTTATCTTTTACTCTGAATTTTTTTCAACTTTCATTATTATACATACGACCGTGTCAGACTCTGTAACTGTAGAAAAATTGCCTCTTAGCAGCTGAGATACTTAACACAGTATACCTGAATCAGTGTTAGAAATTTCGGAGTGAAATCAGGAGTGCATTCTGTGAGAGAGGAGTTATCACTGCAAAATAAATGAAATTAGTGGCGTACAGTGCTATGCGATTTATCGATCGATCTGTCATTTGAACCTATGGAAAAGAATCAATAAACGGAGTGTTCGCAACGAACATGATAATAATCGATTCTTTACCATAGCTTTAAATGGGGAAATAGCGATAATCGATCATTCACACCTCGACACTGAATTAAATATTTCTTTCCGCACTTGTATCGCATTTGATCATTGGTGATCAATCAGCTTTGGTGTGAAATGGACTATATTTTACAATGGACCAATAGACAAAGTACGAATTTTAGCTTTCTGATACACGATTCTCAGTCAAAATTTCACGTAAAACCCGATGCGAACAACGAAAATTGCCGAAATCAACTCTTTACGAAGAGATTTAATGATTCTTGATGCGAGAATTCAAACCACCCGCTCATGAAAACTCAATGCTCTGCGTGATTCACATCCTGCGCTAAACGTTATCATGACAGTCTGCGATTTAAAAATGTGGCAACCTCAATTTTGACGCTTTGGCTCAGCTATGGCAAATTGCTGATAGTTTGAACAGCATATGGTGGGAAGTGAACATTATTCGATTGAGAAGCTCGCTGAAACCATTGTAGTGCGCGATTTGACTCGTGTAGAGCTTTGAGTTTCTTGTGAGCGGGCAGTTCAAATTCCTCGTAACCAATGTGAAATAAAAACGTTAGTATCTTCGTTAGGAGTTGGTTTCAGTAATTTTTGTTGCGCGAATCGTTTTCTACGTGAAATTCTGGTTAAGAAACTTGTATCAGATCGCTTAAATTCGTACCTTGTCCAGTGGTCCATTGTGAATGGTCTTCTTTAATTTTTGCAGACAATTTTGATCCCAATTTTGTCTAAAACGTCTGAAAATTTCTAGGAAAAATACGCATAATCTTTCTCAAAAATACATGTTTTATCCGGGGCGATTTGGCAACTCTCGAATGTTCGCACGGCGTTTTTCCTTAGCACGGCAGTATTAGTGCCCGCGAGGCTGAAGGAATACTTCATGCATTGCGGCAAACAGTGCGATCGGTGTGAGGCATTCCTCAGCGCCTACAAGACAGCGTGAATACTTCTCGCATTACGCCAAACCAGGGACGAGTTCTATAGGTCACCGCGTCCATTAGCGAGACATTGGAGGGATTTTAGCGGATTATAGAAGTGATTCTCTCGAAAACCTGTCAATATCTATTGCCAAGCTTTGAAGATCCAAAGATCAGAGCATCAAAATGCTGATTAAATTAATAACTTTACACTTAATACTTAACTTTACTAAACTTAAAAAAGTGACTAAAATTCAAGGGAAAGCAGACTAACAGGAACGGCATCGCTCATTTAAACACACATAATTTTGAACGATCTAGACAAACAGATAGTCCATTTTTGGCAGTGCGATTATCTGCTTTGATTATAGGTTATCCGACTCTCCAGATTTTTAGATTTACTAGGTTTAGGTTTACCTTTTTGGGGGAAAAAAAAAGAAAAAAAAAGGAGTACTCATGATAACTATATTTACAATATAATTTGACGTGTTTCTGCCAAACCGAACTACGTAAGCCCCGTTATGCATATATTCTTATGGGTCTCAGGGCTCATGTCTTAATGCACATAGTTCCGTTTGGTAGAAATACGTCCAATTATGAGAGTGGTCGCTGTACGAGGAACTGAAAGCTGAGGATCGGCCCACCTCCAAAATAAGTGCCCGTACTTCAATTTATTTCCGCACTGAAAAAAAAATCTCGGTGTATTTACTAAGAAAAGGTTAAAATTACCAAGAATTCAGGGTTCTACTTGATCCCAGTTTTTTCTTGGTAAAATTACCATTTATGGAATTGGTAATTTTACCGAGAAATCTCGGTAATTTTACTGGGCCTAGGTAAAAACGCCAATATTTTTTATCGACTGTGGTAGAATTACCGAGATAGAATGGCAAAGTTATCGGGAATTGATTACCAATAATAAAAGTGATATTCTTACCTGGATAAAACAGTAAAAATACCGGTTTTTAGGTAAGCTTACCAGTCTGTTTTGGTAAAATTACCAATAATTGGTAAAAAAAAGCGAGATGGAAAAGGTACCAACGGACCGTGGTAAAAACGCCGAGAATTTTTTTTCAGTGCATACTAGGGGTTCAGGCCTAGATTCGCACGGCGATTAATCGCCGCGAGTGAAAGACGAAAGCTAATGGAGAGCCTTGATATCGATATATCGACGTCAATGGATCGAAATCAAGGCTCTCCATTGGCTATCGTCTTTCAATCAAGGCGATTAATCGCCGCGTGGATCTAGGCCTTTACGCTCTCCAACCGCGCCGGGGTCCAACCGCCCGAAGCGCTTCGCCCTTCGCATCCAGCGGCGAAGCGTGAATGATCGATAATCGATATTTCCCCATTTGGAGCTATGGTAAAGAATCGATTATTAAGGTGTTCGTTGCGAACACCCTGTTATCGATCATTTTTTGTAGGTTTAAATGACAGATCAATCGATACATCGCAAAGCACGCCACGCCACTGTTCGCATCCCTGAAGGCGTTATGTGTTGCGCGTCTCTCTCGTGATTTTATATTAAGGAGTAAGATTAGGATGAGGTATGGGTCAAGAACGGAGCTCAACAGTATTTTTCGCACGAAACTTGAGAGTTATTGTTGCGAATTTTACTGCACGGAAATAATGAAATTGCTGATTTAACAATTTTGTAGTTGAAAAAAGCGACTGCAATGCCTCAATGTAGATTTTACAACAAAATGCTACTTTAACCACCCTCCTGGTTAAATTAGCTTTCCACCATCGTAAATTGTACATTTGAAACATTGCAGTCACTTTTTGTATCATTTGAATTGTTAAATCAGCAATCAATTTTTTTCTGTGTGTCGTAATTTTGACTGATGATGATCAGTTTGCAATACCAGCCAACTTGTGTAACGAATTCTTGCTTGATGAACAGATTGTCCAGCAATTAGGTCATCATTCATCATCAGGCGAATCTGATCTTCGGCTCCCGAAAATAAAACTACGGAAAGTATGGACGCATATTCTTTGAATGCCTTGCCCAATCGGCATCAACCGCGAGAAAGAAAAATTTCATCAAGTAAAAAAAAAATTATTTATATCAATAACATTTTTTTACAAAGTCTAAAAAAACAGCTTTTTTACAATTTTCAGGTGGGTCTCGAGTGAAATTCGACGATATAATTTTGGAAATAGATCATTGCGAGGAAGTGTAATGATATGACACTGCAGAAAGTAAGAAATTCTTCGATTTCGAAAAAATTAAAAGTAGGCGAATACCTACAGAATTCGGAGATCATTTTCTTTTGTAGTTTCTAATTTTTTTTTAGGGGCAAATTATTTCAATCCCTCTGAAGGGTCTTTTACGAAGTTATACAGTTGAATTTTATTCAACATTGCTCGAACTGTAGTTATGATGCCATGTTACCAGAGGCGGATCCAGCAATGTGGCAACACCGGATTCCCTTAGTTTAAACCTATGTTAAATAGTCGATTCTTGACGGAGCACCTGGCCCCTCCAAGAGATATTCCAATAGGTTTAAATGGAGAAAAACGGTTTTGCCAATTTGCTGAATCCGTCAATGTATGTTACGGGCTCCTTTAAACTTCCCTCATTCGCAATGTAAATCAGGAAGGGCGAGGGCCCCATAACGAAGGTGATTCTACGGACGCAATTTTTTTGTGTCCGTGCGTCGTGCGATCAGAGGCGGATCCAGCAATTTGGCAACGCCGGACTCCTCCATTTAAACCTATGCTAAATAATCGATTCTTGTCGGAGCGCCTGGCCCCTCCAAGAATCGATACATTCCCATAAGTTTAAATGGAGGAAATCCGGCTTTACCAAATTGCTGGATCCGCCAATGCGTGCGATGTATCGCATCGATTCGCTCGGTAATTCAGCTACATGTCATTTTTTTCGAATTTTGAGATCGCACTTCTGGTGTCCTAAGACTGAGGACTTCATGTACCAAATTTGACATAGAAATTCAACGTAATATAGGTGTGGTTCTTTTAGAGGAAAAATATCGCATTCGATACTGTTACTGATACAAATTCGGCACATTATCCTTCAGTCTCGTGACAGCAGGAGTGCGTTCTCAAAATTCGAAAAAAATGACGAACTTACGAAACGAATCGATGCAATGTATCGCACGCCGCTCTGACGCAAAAATGACAACCGTCGAATCACCACAACCGATCTAAACATTAATTGAATGAAATTTGAAGACTTTTGTCTTGGAACTGCAGGACGTCAAATCTTCCTCAATTTTTAAGTTTCCAGGGTCAAACTTGTGCCAAAATCCTCAGATTTTATTCCTCTATTTAGTGGCTCCAAAAACTTAAATTGGAATTTTCGAAGAAAAGGTCCTTTTTTACAGATCCGGTCACAGGTGGACCGCGTCGAGGACTGACTCAAAAAATGGCGTCCCATGAATCACGTTAATAAGGGAGGGTGAACGTGTTCGCAGTGGGTCCTGCTGCAGTGCTATTTAATTATAATTAAATCAGTGCGCATTGAGTACAGAGAAGTGGCATTGGAGTGCAGCCGCGGGTTGTCAGGGCAACGCGTCTGAAGTCGAAGTTTTCCGATGAAGGGATCAACCCGATGGTGACTAGGCAGCGGGGGGTGACGGTGATAAACTTTCCGGTGTGCCGGTCTCACTTGTTTTCTTTTCGCCGAAACCGCCACCACCACCACCACCCTCACCGCCACCGAGACCACCACCTTCACCACCACCTTCACCACCACCTTCACCATGCGTCCTCATGCCCCCGCCGGCACCGCCACCTTCACCACCACCTTCACCATGCGTCTTCATGCCCCCGCCGGCACCACCACCTTCACCGCCGCCTTCTCCACCGCCGGTACCACGCATCTTCATGCCCCCGCCGGCACCACCACCCTCACCACCACCTTCACCATGCGTCTTCGTGCCCCCACCGGCACCACCACCTTCACCGCCGCCTTCACCACCGCCGGCACCATGGGTCTTCATGCCCCCGCCGGCACCACCACCTTCACCACCACGTTCACCACCACCGAAACCACCACCTCCCGACTTATTCTCGCCGAGGCCTCCACCGGCACCACCACCGGTACCCTCCAACGATTTCTTTTCGCCTTCGGCACCACCATGGGCACCCTCCGTCAATTTCCTTTCGCCTTCGGCACCACCACCGGTACCCTCCAACGATTTCTTTTCGCCGGCACCGCCACCTTCGCCACCACCGACACCACCTTCCTTGTTCAGTGACTCCACCCCGTGCATACCACCACCACCGTTCTCCATCGGTTTGGTCGAATTGCTCTCTTTCTCTTTTTCTTTCTCTTTTTCTTGTTTCTCTTTTTCTTCTTTTTCTTTTCTCTCTTTTTCTTTTCTTTCTTTCTTCTTCTGCCGTTTACTTTTTTCCTTGCTCTCATATTCTTTGTCTGCCTCTGCTTTTTTCTTCTTTGCTTCCTCGTCTCTCTGTCGCTGAGCTTTCAGTCTCCTCCTTTTCTCCTTCTTCTTATTGATTGAATTTCCGATCCCTTTCACCGCCGCCTACAGGAACAAGACAAATGGCACTGTTTAATGCAACTGGCGCGGCTTCAGCATTTCACATTTAAATTTAAATTAATTAATTAAATTTTAAATGTTTAAACTCAGCATCTTAAATTTGACCTTTCCGGGAGGGAAAGTTTTACCCAGTTCAGACCAGTTCTATGATATCTTTCAAAGTTTTGCCCCCTCCCCTCCCTCATCTTTAGAAAATTTAGTCTCCTCCGATGAATTTCGCCATCTTACTCCTAAGTTTTGATATAAATATTCATTTCTGTTCCTTATTGATTTTTCCTTTCATTTTTTCGTTCTGTCCATTGGGATTGTATTTTGCAAAAAGGAGCCAAGAGCATTCCTATGCTGCTAGGATTGTGCAACCTACATCTTTACAACAAATGTAATTCTGCAAAGTAATTCTCGTCTTGAATTCATGCAATAATTAATTGGGAGTTGAGATAAAAATTTTTAAGATGATCAGTTTACACGGTAAAAAAAGTTGCACAATCTTAGCGACATTGGAATGCTTTTGGTCCCTCTTTGCGAAATACAGTCCAATTGCCCATTGAGAATCTTGCGCGGAGTGAAAGGAGTAGTTTCTCCTCACGAAAACTGCTCTTGAATCATGATGAGCATACAAGTCATAAGCATTCAAGTCAGATTTTCACTCCTAACTTTACATTCTGATTTTGAACTTTATGAATTTTGAAATCTGATTTCACGGACCCATTTCAATCTTTTACTGCAGAGACTCCGCTTTCCTCGGTCAAATGAATTTTCAGTCAGAAATTCCTAAAATTCTCCTGGTAAAAACGTCACTTGCAATTCGACGACATTAAAATTTATTACATTTTGCAATGAGAAACCACTATCTCTGACTCTTCCATTAAACTGCATATCTGCATAGGGGAATCAATGACATGTATGCTGTCTCTGAAATGAGCCAGAAATAGTGGTTCCTTATTGCAAAATGTAATCAAATGCAGTTACAGCCCTTTCAGATAACTTTTCCCTCTTCGCCGTATGCGTGAATTGGGGGATTCCCTATCCCAAGTAGCAGTGATCACGCATAAGTTGCGATTTGATCCAAGAATGTATCGCGATTGTATCAACGTCGATATTGCAATATTATCGGATAAAAAATTGCGGTTAACTGCAATCTCATCGCAACAATTTGCAATAAAATCGCGATTTCATCGGAGGCGATTTATTGCAGCATCATCGAACCGGTATCGTGATAAATTAAGTTAAACTTTCGATTTTATCGAGCGCGATTTCATAGAGATAAAATTGCAACAAAATCGAGGATAACCGCTCAGATGTTGTAAACCTAGCGATTTAATCGCCAAACAATTGTAAAAAAATCGCAACTCAGTTTCAAAATATCGCGTTTTCCCGTTGAAAAATGGTACTTGATACCGCGCATACAGCATGCAAAAGGGGCAAAGTTATCTGCAACGATCTTGACGCTCCTTTACGAGGGAAACTACGAAATGTGCTGGTGCACGGTAAAAATGAAATTATGCTGCTTTAACAATGAGCCCGATACTGACTTCGCTTCTTTTTTTTTATAGAGTCCCTTTATACTGAGAGTCAAGACAATGTGAATCCATTTCTGATTGGTTCCCGTATTTTAGGCCGTCACAGTGTCACAAACACATTTTCACCGATTGCAAAGATTATAATGTGGAATGGACCAGGGAATTACGGGTTCGGCAAGGAACAAACGGAATGAGAAAAAGAACGGAGGAAGGAATTCGGGAATGGGCCGATCAAAGATTACAAAAAACGTTCAATTTCTGTAATCTTTATTCCCGTTCGTGACTCCATGAGGGGGTGTCGTCTTGACTCTCAGTAATAAAGGGACTCAGCGCGGTATCCCATGTACCATTTTTTGGCGGGAAAAGCGCGACATCTTGAAACTGAGTCGCGATTTTGTTCACAATTCGTCGTTTCCAGCACAAAGGAACGTAATTCCATTCCAAGGTGGCCAAATTGACTCGAACAATTAATTTATTTTACAAAAATGTACGTATGCAATTTTTATCCAAAATTGGTTGGTTTTTTGCTTGGAATTTAGAGAAAAAGCAGGGAAATTTTCAGTCAGAAATGCCCAAGATTCTCTTGATTAATAGGCAATTTGCGAGGGGGAATTTGGCAACATTGAAATGGAGTTACCTTCTCTCGTCCAGGAGACTGCGAATTGTTTCGCGATAAAATCGCTAGGATCATCAACATCGGAGCGCTTATCTTCGATCTTGTCACTTTTTTTTTTTTTTTTTTTTTTTTTTTTTTTTAGCAATTTCATCGCTAAATCCGCAATCTATTTTTTCCGTGTGTTTTTGGAAAACTTTCAACCCATGAACGCTTGATTTCTGACACTGTCTAGTTCTATGATGTTAACTTACCTTGCCACCCTTCTCCACCAGCGGGGCGGCAAGCATAGCGAGCGGCCCGAGAGGCGCTCTTCTTCCGAGAACGGCGAGATCAGAAGTGTCATCTTCCTCCAGTCCATCCACACTAGCGACAGCCGCGACCACCTAATCGAAAATCAGATTTAAAAAAGGGCTCCCGAGTTCGGGCTCTTCAGCGGACTGATCGTTGAAATGGACCACTAGACAAGGTACGAATTTAAGCGATCTGATACATGTTTCTTAACCAGCATTTCACGTAGAAAACGATTCCTACAACGAAAATTACGGAAACCAACTCCTAACGAAGATATTAACGTTTTTATTTCACATTGGTTACGAGGAATTTGAACTGCCCGCTCACAAGAAACTCAAAGCTCTACGTGAGTCAAATCGCCCACTACAACGGTTTCAGCAAGCTTCTCAATCGAGCAATGTTCATTTCCCACCATCTTTTGTTCAAACTATAAGTAATTTGCTACAGCTGAGCCAAAGCGTCAAGATTGAGGTTGCCAGATTTTTATATCGTAGAGACTGTCATGATAACGTTTAGAGCGCGATGTGAATCACGTAGAGCATTGAGTTTTCATGAGCGGGTGGTTTGAATTCACGCATCAGGAATCATTAAATATCTTTGTAAGGAGTTGATTTCGGTAATATTCGTTGTGCGCATCGTGTTTTACGTGAAATTTTGGTAAAGAAACGTGTATCAGAATGCTGAAATTCGTACTTTGTCTAGTGGTCCATTGGTAGACAAAGCTACAGACTAGAAAGACATAGGGAGTATGGAGCGATCCTATTGGTTGCAACTGTCTGTTCGTAGAGACCAAGGGGGGAAATGATGGACTAACTGTCGGGTTTCTTGTCGGTTGCCGATAGTCAGTCTAATACTCACCTCTTTGTCAGTGTCGTGGCGTGAATTGCAATGTATCGATTGTTTTGCCATTTAAACGTATGGTAAAGAATCGATTATTGAGGAGTTCGCTGCGAACACCCTATTATCGATCTTTTTCCATAGGTTTAAATGGCATAACAATCGATTTATCGCAAAGCACGCCACGCCGGTGCTCTATGTCCATTGCAACCACCCGCTTCCGCCAATAGGATCCCTCCATATCCCTTCTGTCTTCTTTGTCTATAGCTTTGTCCACCAATTTCGACAATCAACCCGCTGATTTTTGAAAGGGATGCATACAGCCTTAGATAAAGATGATAGAAAAAGATATGGAGCAGTGGCGTGGCGTGAATTGCGATGTATCGATTGTGGTGCCATTTAAACCTATGAAAAAAAATCGATTATCAGGGTGTTTGCAGCGAACACCTTAGTAATCGATTCTTTACCATAGCTTCAAATGGCGAGATATCGATAATCTATTATTCACGCCACGCCACTGATATGGAGGGATCCGATCGGTGGAAGCTGGTGGTTGCAATGGACCAAGGAGGTATGTAACAGACTAACTAACGGCAACTCACGAGAGACTCTCCTTAGTCCATCATTTACCCCCTTAGTCTATGAGAACCGTACATTTCAACCAATAGGATCCCTCCATCCTCCCTATGTCTTCTTTGCCTATAGCTTTGTCTATCAAGTTCAACAATCAGCCCGCTGGTGGAACCCATTTTGTGCACGATCGATACATGGACCTCGTCTAGCATAAAGGATGTCAAAGATCCCTAAAATGAATCCCACGTATCAGAAAAACTGGCAATCTGCAATGCTTAAACCAATTTTGACCCATTTCAACGCTACTGAAACGAATTGCAATAACAAAAGCGCCTTCAATTAGTAGACAGACAACATACACATCATTCCGACGCAGTAGCAATAATTTGACCGCGCTCAGCAGAAACCAACCGAGCCACACCAGCTTTGCCAATAGTAACCGGGCAATTTAATTTCTTTCAAGGGAACGTTTGTGCGTATTCTTTGGAATATTTTAAGGAATTCGTTTTGGACTATGCAGAAAATTCACTGAAACTTGCACAAAAATTCGCGCCTCTGTTTTTATGTAAAATATTAAATTACGCTGTCAAATTTGGCTATAGCTGATGTGGTTTGATTCCTGTCTGCTTGACAGGGTACAGGTACACCCGTGACCGGATCTGTGAAAAAGGGCCTTTTCTTCAAAAATTCCAATTTAAGTTTTTGGAGCCACTAAATAGAGGAATAAAGTCCGAGAATTTTGGCGCAAGTTTGACCCTGGAAACTTTAAGATTGAGGAAGATTTTAACGTCCTGCAGTTCCAAGACAAAAGTCTTCAAATTTCATACAATTAATGTTTAGATGGAAGTAAAAAGGTTAAGGTGATTCGACGGTTGCCATTTTTTGCGTCAGAGCGTCGTGCGGCATATCCCATCAATTCGTTCCATAATTTTAGCTACTTGTCATTTTCTTCGAATTTTGAGATCGCACTTCTGTTGTCATCAGACTGAAAAATTCATGCACCTTTGACAAAGAAATTCAACGTATTAGAGGCAGGGTTTTTTCATAGGAAAAATATCGCACTCGAGTGCAGTCTCGATATCAGTATCGAATGCGATGTTTTTCCTCTAAAAAACCCCTGCCTTTATTATACGTTGAAATTCAATGTCAAATTTGGTACATGAATTCTTTAGTCTCATGACAACAGAGCAGCGATCTCAAAATTTGAAACAAATGACAAGTAGCTGAAATCGTGGGACTAGTCAATGCGATAATCGCACGTCGCTCTGACACAAAGAATGGCGTCCGTCGAATCACCTTATACTAGAGTCCCTTTATACTGAGAGTCAAGACAATGCGAATCCATTTCTGATTGGTCAACCGGATTTTAGGCCTTCACAGTGTCACAAACGGGAATAAAGATTACATTTTCTCCAATTTCAAAGATTATAATCTGGAATGGACCGAGGAATTTCGGGTTCGACAAAGAATAAACGGAATGAAAGAAGGAACGGAGAAAGGAATTTAAGAATGAGCCGATCAAAGATTACGAAAAACGTTCAATTTGTGTAATCTTTATTCCCGTTTGTGACTCCATGAGGGGTGTTGTCTTGACTCTCAGTATAAAAGGACTCTACCTTACACTATATATCAACGGTATAAGAAATGTCTCGAACTTACTTACCAAGAGCGCGCCGAGAGTGGCCCACGATTTGAGGTGCATCCTCGCGGCGATGCGACGAAACGGATCTCCCAGTCTTGCAGGAGGTTTAATCGGATCGGAGTCGATTTTCGGCTTTTAAACGGGCGCGCGTGGCTGTTTGCCCAATTGTGCCGCCGGGGTCACCCGCGCCCCCCGAAATCCCGATGATTTAGGCGCACCCGAGCGCGCTTTGACGCTTGACGCCAGCCGAGAGCGCAAATATTTGCGCTCGGATCACGGCCGGCCGTTCGCTCAAGCGTTTCCGCCAGGAGGGATCAGGGTGGGAATTTTCCTATTTTCCGAGAATCAGTGGCGTAGCTAAAAATTTTCTTGGGTGTGGGGGGTCTGCGTTCAACATTTTTCGGGGGATGCACTGGAAAAAAACAAAAACACATTGGATCTAGATTCCAGACTCTTGAAAACATCGACAAGAAAAAATACTCTTGATTCAATCAGATTTAAGCTTAAATCAAGAACTAAGTTTGGTTCAAAACAGCGGAGCATAACCTCATCCAAACATTTTAGGAGTTAAGTTGGAAAAGCTGAAAATGAGAAAATTCCTAACAATTTCGCTTTCGATGTATTGAATACGATTCACACCGCCTATCTGCAAACTGAATATTTTGCAGAACGAAGAGGAAATCTGGCCATTTTTGTGATTTTAAGCTTGGATCTGCAATTGTTTCATACACTACAGCGTCATTGCAGCGCTCCCCTATAGAGTTAGAAAAGAAACTAAAATGGATGTTGGGATGCAGTCCAGCGAAACGAGTGGGAATCGAAACCCTCGGATTAAAAACCCAGTTAAACTGTCATACACTGGAAAAAAACACATCGGATCTAGAGTCCAGACTCTTAAAACATCGACTGGAAAAAATACTCTTGATTCAATCAGAATCTAGCTTAAATCAAGAACCAAGCCTCTTAATTTAAGCGGATTTCGTTTTGATTCAAGCAAAAATCCAATTGAATCAAGAATATTTCTTCTTGTCAATGTTTTCAAGAGTCTGAACTCTAGATCTAATGTGTTTTTTTCCAGTGTGGGGCGTGAAGTGCATTATTCCTGCAGGCTGGTTTTTGAAATTAATAGACAAAGCGATAAACAAAGACGACATAGGAAGTATGGAACAATCCTATTTGTTGAAACGGGTGGTTCATATAGACGAAGGGGGTAAATGATGGACTATAACTATAGGCTCTCTCGTGGGTTGCCGTTGGTTAGTCTATCACCTACCTCCTATGTCCATTGCAACCACCCGCCTCTACTAATAGAATCTTTCCATATCCTTGTGGTCTCCTTTCTCTATAACTATGTCTATCCATTTCAATAATCAGCCCGCTGAAAATCGCGAAAAATGACATTTTGGGGGAACTTTGCGAGTCATAGGAGTCCAGACCCTTGGTACTTCCCTCACACGCTACTCACCCCCAAAAGTCATTTTACTTATTTTCAAGAATTTTCAGCCTGTGGGGGGGTGAAACATCTGTTTTCCTTGTCCATATTCCGCAAAAATATTCCTGAGTATCGCAAAAAATGACGTTTATGGGGGAATGTTTCCAGTCATGAAGGTCCAGGCCCTTGGACCCACCATCCACACGCTACACACCCAAAAAATGTCATTTTTCTTACAATCCATAGTTCCGGGAACTTTGATATGACAACATAATAATAGTTTTTTTTTTTCCAGACGAAGGAACTTAACTCCATTCCAAAGTTGCAAAATTGCCTATGAAAATAATTATTTCATCGCACTGACAAAAAATTCCTGTAAATCGCGTAAAATGACATTTTTGGGGGAAATTTTTTGGTAATGAGCGGTCGAGACCCTCAGAGCGAAATTATGAAACTCTCGGGGAAAGTAGGAGGAAAATGGGACAGAGAGTTCCTAAAAAAGTCAAGAAAATTGCGTTCAAGACACTAAAATTATTAAAAATTTGACAACGATTCACTGTGCATTAATGAGTGTAATTGTGTTCAGCTTGAAAATTGACACTATTCGTGAAATTTCAAATCTGGCTCATGGTTTACTCTCGTGACAGCGCCCCTTGATATTTTAACATGACCGTGGATATACAAGCATCAGCACCTTCTGTATTTGCTCGCGTAGTTGTTTACAAACAATCGTCGATTGAATTTGAATTGCGTGGAGTTGCAATTCAAAGTTTGATGGAAATAATTTTAAGAGTAGTCTTTAAAAAGAATCGTGCTTCAGTTTTTTGACCATGCATACAACAAACTAGGTTACTGGTAGATAAACTTAAATGGAAATACTTCAGTTCATATGGAACACTAAAGTTTTTGGGTCGGGTAACAGAAGTTATTGATCGGAGGAACCAAACTTTGGTCTGGATAACTGAAGTTTTGGGTAATGAAAACGAGTTTCAGTACAGCTAACAAAATATCTAATTATACTTCAGCCGAAAATGGAGATGTTGCATGTGTGAGGAATTTGCGATTTGACTATTGATTCTCACGTAAAAGTTCGCGAGAAACACAATGGTGCCACTGGTTTTTTCTGAGATCAACTCCCAAGCTTAAAAAAAGTTCTCAAGTTGAGGCCAAAATGAAGGGAATATCCCACGCTATCCTGGGAGTCCACATCTACATCAAGACAAACTCTGCTTACGAAGATAGGGAGCAAATACATTAGCAGGGTTGCCGTGTTTTCAGTTTTGGAGTCCCCAAATAAAGAGGCAGCCCTGCCAATGTATTTGCTCCCTATCTTTGGATGGAGAGTTTGTCTTGAAGTAGAGGTGGACTCTCAGGATAGCGTGGGATATCCCCTCCATTTTTGCCTCAACTTTAGAGCTTTTTTTGAGATTGGGAGATGATCTCAGAGAAAACCAGTGGCACCATCATGTTTCTCGCGTACTTTTACGTAAGAATCAATAGTCAAATCGCAAATTCCTCACACATGCAACATCTCCATTTCCGTTTTTATGTCACAAAAAAAAAAACGTTGAACAGATTTCATTCCTCCATTTGCCATGGTTATATCGTTTTAAAAAGTGCCGAGTAAACTTCAAATGAAGGAGAGGAAACTGAATTTAAGCGAAAGTATTCGACTGATCAAAACTTGACGGTGAAAATATCAGGCCACGTATTTCGTTTACGGTGTTGAAAAATCTACACTCCTATTCTCTTTTGAATGAGATTGAATCGGTATCATTTCTTGAAATTTTCACAGAGTTATCTTCGCATAGAGAAAATAAAGCACGGAACAACACCGGATTAAGGGGGTGGCCACATGGGCCGCGGCCCATGGCGGCAAAAGGGGGCGGCAAATATTGTAATTTTTTCAAATGTAGGTATCAAGAAAAAAATCTGATTCAGAAAAAAAAATCACTAATGAGGAAAGACGAAAAAATCTCTCATATCCTGAGAAAAGTATAGTAATTTCTAATTTTTTCGTCTTTCGGTGATACAAGAAACAGCGCCTTTCATTAGTCTAGTTGAGAGAGAAACCAAACACGCAATTTGGCCTGGAGCGGCACGGCACAGAGAGCAATGATGGCGAGAACTTAAGATGGAAAGGAGAAGCCTTATCGGCGCACCGGTCAGCATGAAACACATATTAGCGCCTACAAGACTCCATGAATACTTCACGCATTGCGTCAAACGTAGTGCGGTCAGCAGCGGTTGGCGTGAAACTCATAGTGCCTACAAGACTGCATGAATACTTCACGCATTGCGTCAAAAACAGTGCGGTCTTTTGGTCAGTAGCGGTCAGCGTGAAAGGCATAGCGCCTACAAGACTGTAGGGATACTTCACGCATTGCGCCAAACACAGTGCGGTTGGCGCGGTGGCGGAAATTAAGATCATTACCACATACATGTTTATTCTTATTCATAATTTTTTTCGTTCTTTTCTTATAAATGAAACTCATCCTCCACACAGAAGTAGGTCTGCGGAACTTAATTTTTGAGCAAAGTTCCGTGAACTTTTGCTAGTGTTAACAGGGCTTTCACAAAAAATGTGCCAAACGCGAGTAAACGCGTCTTATGTACCCCTCCTCCTCCGGCACGTTCACCTGATGGTTTCTATGGATGTTTCAAAACGAATGAGATGGGGCGGCAAAATACAGGCGGCCCATGGGCGGCAAGAAGGTAAATCCGGCCGCGACACGGAAGTTTTCAAGAATTGACATTGAGTAGTTTTCCATTTAAAAAATAAAGTATGGCAGGAAGTCTACCATGCCGCATACATAGTTTGGTAGTTTCACCGTCGAACTGTTTTTGCCTATGTTTTTCCGTTCCCAAAGAGTGCTCCGTATCAAAAAGTATGAAACTTTGATAGGTCCCCCAGTGGAGCAACATGAACTCGTTGAGTCCGGAGATGAGCTTTTTTCAAAACAAGCAAATTCGCACCAGAGTGTCTACAAGTCCGGAATTTCCGGAAAGTCCGGAAATAGTACTGATTTTTTAAGGGCGGTCCCGATTTTTTTTTCATTGTTGGTCATTTTGGTCGCAATTTGAGCGAGAAATGCGAATGTGTGAAATTTTTCAAACTTCGTTAATTGGCGGTATTGAAAAAGTACTGAAAAAGTACTGAATTTTCCTGTGAAGAGATACTGAATTTCTTGAGTATGTGCTGAACGAGCATCGTAAAAGTATTAATTTTTGGGCAGCCTGTTTTCGTAGACACCCCGCGCACATATCTTTTCTATGTGAGATGGGGGGAAAGTAAAAGATACGCTTGGCCTTGAAAACCATTTTTCTACAATCGGAATTTTCATTTTTTTTCCTCGTTTGAAAGTTTAACTTAAAGTATTTTTCAAATTTTGATCCCCAAAAACAAACTAACATTATGCTATTTAACTACGCCGCCCTTTTTTCTCCATTGTTGCATATGAAGAGGAGCTAGAAAATGGGTGGACCGCTGTGTGAAGGCTCGAAGGCAGAGCAACCTCTAACCACAAAGAAAAAGCGCGATATAATTATTTATCTATTCATCCTGCGACCATCAGAACTCGGTTCAATGATCATTGAAACAGTCATTGCCTCGTTAGATACCTTTTGTTTTGTTTTTCCCTTCAAATATGTTGGAACTCCAACTTGCAATTCAATTGATATAG